GGTCCTGGGATCGAGCCCCACATCGGGCTCTCTGCTCAGCGGGGAGCCTGCTCCCCCCCCCCCCCCACCGCCTGCCTCTCTGCCTGCTTGTGATCTCTCTCTCTGTCAAATAAATAAAAATAAATAAAATTAAAAAAAAATCTCAAGTAATAACTGTTTTCAGAAATATAATTCAGAAAATGCTGATCTAGTTTGTAGGTATACTACAACTTCTCAGTTTAGGGGAGGAAACTGCAGTGGTCTGGGTGGGCAGAAGAAAGAAGAGAGAAGAACTGAGTTGTAAAAATAGTAAACATATTTCTTGAATCCAAATCCCAGAAATATCAATAACTTTTTACTTTATCAAACTATTTTTTGAAAACATTTAGTGACTATGTAGCACTCTCTATTTATTAATACATTTAATCCTCACAACATTCTTATGAGGTCAGTATTATTATTATTACTTCCATTTTATGAGGAAGGAGCTAAGGCTCTGTTACCCAATAGCAAATCAAAGAGCCAGATTTTGGGGATGCCTGGGTGGCTCAGTTGTTAAGTGTCTGCCTTCAGCTCAGGTCATGATCCCAGAGTGCTGGAATTGAGCCCCTCATCAGGATCCCTGCTCAGCGGGAAGCCTGCTTCTCCCTCCCCTGCTTCCCCTGCTTGTGCTCCCTCTCTTGCTGTGTCTCTGTGTCAAAAAAAAAAAAAAAAAAAAGAGCCAGACTTTGAACCCAGAAGGGCTGGCTCCAGAGCCAAAGCAACCAGCCACTATGGTAGACTTCCTCTCTACCGCAGCTTCATTTTGTTTTGTATTTTTGTATTATTTTGTTTTATCTTAGATTTTTTAAAAAATTTATTTGACAGGGAGAGGGAAAGCACAAGCAAAGGGAGCAGTGGGCAGAGGGAGAAGCAGGCTCCTTGCCAAGCAGGGAGCCCAATGCAGGGCTCTATCCCAGGACCCCGGGACCCCAGGACCACGACGAGAGCCGAAGGCAGTTGCTTAACTGACAGAGCCACCCAGGGGCCCCTAAAGCACCTTCATTTTAAACTAGCCTTTCAGGTAATTCTGACAACAGGTTCAGGTTTGAGAAGATAGCTAATAACTGAAAGCTGAATCTAGATAGTTCTCAATCTTTAGCATACATCAGAATCCCCTGAAGGGCTTGTTTACACAGAGCCTGCCGGCCCAATGTCTAAAGTTTCTTGATTCAGTAGATCTGGCTTTGTCTCAGAACGTGCACTGCTAACTAGTTCCCTGCTGAAGCTGATGTGACTGATCAGACAACCACATGCTGAGAACCACTGGTTTAAATGAGACTATGGAAAAACTTGAATATTGTGTAGAGGAATTTGAGTTTTACCCAGTGAAGGGTGTGTGTGTGTGTGTGTGTGTGTGTGTGTGTGTGTGTGTGTCTGTGTTTTGTCTTTAATTTCTTAACTAGTATAACATTTCATAATAAAAAATTCAAAAACTACAGAGAGTATATAATAAAAAGAAGTCTCTCTGCTTGTTCTGTTCACCAGCCCCCACATTCTCTTCCCTAAAGCTGTGTACATTTCTAGTTTCTTATGTATCCTTCCACGATTAGGAAACAGAGGGAAAAATGTTTTTCAGCATTCAGGTATCTAGAATAAAGTTCACTTATTTTCTTGTTATAACAGTCTAGTACCTAGACTACTGGAATTTACTATTTAGGGTATTAACATCATACAGGCTAAAGATCTGAATCAAAGAACTGGAAAATTATAGATGTAGGTAGATATTGTAAATTAGGAAACTAAGCCAACAGAGAGGTTAAATAACTTGTCCAAGTTCACATAGTGAGTGGCATAGCCACGGTTCACACCTATGTTGTTTGGCTCCAAAGCCAGTGCTCCTTGCATTATCCCTCAGGAATTTGAGGCTCAAGAAGAAAAGGCTTACCCAGCTTTGCTTAGTTACTTAGATTTTCTGATTCCCAGTCCAACAGTCATTATGTTTACTATACTCAATGAGGGAATGACTTTTTAAAATTTCCATTCAGATTTTTGAGTTTTTATTGCTTTGACCAAGGCTATGAAGCTAAGAAAGAGAAGGTTTAGTATGTATTTTGTCTTCCTGCGGAAAATCCTTTGCTTCTAGAGCAGTGGGACCCATTAAATTACCAAGTATTACAAAATGTGTGACTCAACTACCATGTATAGTAAGAGGCATCATAGGTCAACTAACAGCTTAGCTTTGAAATCTGTTAACTTTTCTCAGCCTCAGTCTCTAACTGTTGATAGTGAGAGAGAGATAATAATACACATAGAAGATGATTAATGGGGGCTTTAACTAAACAGGAATGTGTGTAAAGCACCAAACATGGTATTTGGCACAATGCGAAAAAAGGTTATTTATTATTTTTCATTATATATTCAATTCGTAGAGTGGCTGGAACTTCTGTGTACAAATTAAGGTTTGACAACAAAATAATTTTATGTCATTTCACACAAAAGTCATGGAATCTACTTCAACTGTGAAAAATGTTCAAAAATTAATCCTAGCAGTTTTTAATATTGGACTACTAAAAATGACCTAAGATAATTCAAACATTGAAACGTTCTAAGTGCAGAATGAGAATATAACTATAGCAGGTCATAACATATCTAGGATTTTGATGTCCAGAATTCTAGGTAGAATGTTTCTATCTATACTATTCTACCCTTTATGAGTAGAATAAATGCAGACTATTCTACTCTTTGCGAGTAGAGTACTTTTTGCATGTGACTTGGGGTGCCATTAAATAAGATCATAATCAAATTTTACCTTTAGGACTTGCACTAAACCTCTGATCTATCAATTTTGAATTCTCTAAGAAAAACAATGCTATCATGGCTATTGTTATTATTTTTACTTCATACAAATTGCTTATTAAGGTATTCTATAAAATTCTAGATATTTAGTTTATTTTATGCCATACGTGCAAATACAAAACACTTGTATTCAGGTGTTACCTTGAAGTAAGAATGTAAGTTAGACAATGCTCTCATAATTTTACTATATAAAACATGATGTGATATAGAACAGATATCTTCAAAATTGGTTGGTCTTAGGACCCATTTACTCTCTTAAAAGTCATTGGTAACTCAAAGAACATGTGTTTATTTTATTTATATCTATTGGTATCACTATATTATAGATTAAAACAGGAGTTTTAAAAAATAATTAGTACCTATTAAATAATAATAGTAAACCTTTAACATGTTAATTAACGTATCTTTATTCCAAGTAATTATATTTTTTCTAAAAAACATTTAGTGAAAAAGGTGACACTTTTATTTTTGTAAATCTCTTGAATATTTGGCTTAATGGATGGTACTGGATCTCTTCTCTGCTTATGTATTCGATCTGTTGTGACATATTGTTCTGACTGAATTATATATAACAAAATCCAGCCTCACACAGATTTGTAGTTGAAAAAAGAAGGAATTTTTCAACAGTCTTTTCGGATAATTGTGATTTTTTTCTTTGATACTACACCAAAACTCAACAACCACCAGTTTTTTAGGGGATAACTGCAATGTAGAATCTGAAATTATATCAATGAGTTTTCTTTTTCTTCATACCAATACATTAAAATCAACCAGTCTGTTTTGCATTTTGAATGGGTCTTTTACTCATGTCTGATTTTGTAATTCATGCATTGGTCATTTGGAAATACTGCTTCACTGAGTTATACAGATTTTCAAGATCTTCACACATTTCATAGCACAATATCAACAAATTACATTAATTTATATCACACTAGTCTTATCAGAAAAGCTTGTAATTATTGGGAAGCTGTCAGGCTAACAGTGGCAGATAGGAATTTTCCAAAATTCCAATTTTTGCTTGATAGCTCAAATTTTACTGTGAGTGACAAATACTGTCAAGTTGTTCTTGAAGAGACAAGCTCACTTAGTTCATTTTCGACAAAATGTCTGCCCAAACCCCAAGTTTAAATAACCAGTTTGTGGGGCTCCTGGGTGGCTCAGTGGGTTAAAGCCTCTGCCTTCGTGTCAGTCATTCTTCTTAAAGACTATTTTTTTTTTTTAAAAGATTTTATTTATTTACTTGACAGACAGAGATCACAAGGAGGCAGAGAGGCAGGTGGAGAGAGAGGGGGAAGCAGGCTCTCCACTGAGCAGAGAGCCCGATGTGGGGCTCGATCCCAGGACCCTGACATCATGACCCGAGCCGAAGGCAGAGGCTTAACCCACTGAGCCACCCAGGCGCCCCTATTTTTTTTTGTTTTTTAAGAGCTGTCTTAGGATCACAATAAAATGAGAAGAAGGTACAGAGATTGCCCATACAATTCCCACTGGCTTCTTTCTTTCTTTCTGTTTGTTTATTTTTTTTCACCAGTTTTTGTTTTGTTTTGTTTTAGTTCATTCCTCTAACACTTCTCTTTCATTTTTCCTGAAACAATAATCAAAGGAAGGTAATGGCACTCAAAGAAATCTAAAAACACGAGCTTTATGATAAGATTCTTAACCTTTATCCCTGCAAGCCAGTAATCAACCTAATCAACCTTGAATTGAATAGGCCCATTTATCTTTGATGAATCATTTTCATACTTTTAAAGGCAAATAACCTTATTTTTTAGAAATAACATTTACAGTACTATTTTATAGTACTACTACTATAAATAACAATTACTAAATATAATATATAAATCACTTATGGTACAATGATAACATATTATAAACTATAGAGCTTTATACAAACTGATTTGACTTCACAAGACAAGTTCAAGTGAATTTTGAGTTGCTACTCAGTCAAAAACATCAAATTAATAGTATCTGGAAAATTACAGGCAATAACATAATTAATGATCTGGGTAATCCCTTTGCTTATGAAAGAGTCATAGCTATTTCTCATGATATTATATAGTGTCAATGCAATGTCCAGATATAAAACTAAATTAAGATAGGAAATGTTTTGAAGTAAAAAGATTCAGCATATCCTTTTGTTTCTGGCTAAGAGGGGCTGACTGGTATGAAACTTTGGCACTTACTTTCCGATTGTGTTGGGTAGTATCGTAAGTTGATTGTCATCTACTTTTAGAGTTGTTAATTTTTTCAACAGTCCTAAAACAGAGAAGAAGCTTTATTAATAAACGAGAACAGATCTCTGACAGGAAATACAATAAGAAAGAAAAGAATCACTTGTGATGACCATTTATTATGCCAACTGGCTACACTCTGTATAAACTTACAGCTATATTTGTGTGCAGTCTAATCTTGACTTTCCAGTTTTAAAAACTTCACTTGCATCAGTGGGAGTTCAGGTTCATCAATGCAGACAAATAAACACAACATAGGGCTCCACAGAAACCAAAGACAGCAACACTACCACATTTCCCATATCTAGTATACTACAAATGGACCAGATGAAAATTTTTGAGCCAGTTGTGATTTAATATTTAATTAACTCCTAAGATAATAACTAACATCCCTGTTGTGATACAAATTAAAAACAAATCTGAAGTAAGCCTAATATCAACGAATGGGTACTGAAATATTGCGACGCAGCGGTTATAATTATGTACTTGGAAAATTACAACATATGATCTCATACTCTTTGCTACCATAAATCCTCAAGTTGGATCCGCAGAAATCACAAAAACTTGCAATTTTAATATACAGAACAGAACTGGCCAAGAATCGAAGTTTCAACTATTTATATTTCACTGTCAGATTTACGCTTCCCATACCCTTACTGACTGCTCTATTCCCAGGGTTTTAATGAGTAATAGCCACAGAGTAATTGAAGACAGCTTCCTTTACCCAGCCACCATATAGCAGCAGTCTGGCTTAAATAGCCAAGGCCCAAGGGCAAAGCGTGGTTAATTTTTGTTTTGCATTGGAAATATGCATATATACTGTAGGTTACTTTTTTTGCAGAAAACTTGTGTTCATGGATAGAGTGGGTTCCATGGTCAAATGTGTTTGGGAAAAGCTAAATTAAACAACATTAAACATATTTCTTTAATGAAGTTTTACTAGGACATTTTAATATATTAATGTAGCAATGTGACTTTCCGAAGTTATTGCGGAATGCCTGTGAGTGTGCGGCATACCTTGTACAGCTAGTGTTTTGTGAATATGCTTTGAGAAGCACTGCCATGGACCATGCCCACCCACCTCATGTATTCTGCAGATTCCTTAAAGCCATAGAGTAAGTGAGAATAGATCTGAAATAAAAAGTGATTATTGCACTTTAAATTTCAGTGTGCTCAGTTACATATTCTGTAGAAGCACTCAATCTCTGCTCTAGTGGGGAGAAAGGTTCTCACTGTCAGACTGCTGTGAGAAAATATCTACAAAATATTGGAGCTTAATACATCAGCTTGTGCCCTCAAGATACACTGCTGAAAACAGCAGCACCTGGGAAAGAGGACAATTCTCACCGGGGTCATTTATCTCTGAAGTTTGCTCCCCCACTGCCATATTTATCTATGTTTCAAGGGTGACTGAATCACTTCAGCTTTGCTGGTATGTATGTAAGAAATATCAACCTTGGAAATAGAAAAGAGCTTGTTCGTCAATTGTGGCAAGAAAACAGGGGGGTGATGGATTAGAGCTAAATTTTTTATGACTTGGTAGCCCTTATCAAGCTACTGCACCTGCCCACCAGTGAAGCTAGAGGAGGTTTGGCAGTCTCAGTGTCACCTGACTGGGGCATAGCAGGTTTCAGGTGGGGCCACAGATCACTGTGCAAATACCATGAAACTGAGTTGCTAGGTAGCCTTTAAGAGAATCACAGCACCAAAGTCTGAAAGTAGTGAAAAATCTTGAGGCATGTTAGGTACAAAAACCAAAGGTTGATGCAACAGGGCTTTTTGAAGAATGGAGTGGTGGCTCTGTCACCCCCTGGAAGCTTCTGCAGCTTTACAGGTGGAAGCAAGTTGGTTCTCTCTGCTTAGCTCCATGTCCGTGGATTTAAAGGAAGCTTGCTCAGTTGTTGCTCACATATTCCATCCAAGGGAACGCTCTTTGGAGAGACTGTGCAGCTTCTATAGGAATATGGTTGTTCTTGGTGCAGAAATAGGGCATCAACCTTATCTTCATTGCTCATGACTTCTTCCAGCAGATAATTCCTTTACTGCATTTCTATACCATATCTGTTTGGACTTTCTTCTTCTACCCCAACAGGAATCAAAGATATTCTATTCTCTTCCTTCCCTCTATTTGTGTCCATCCCTAATTCCCTACTTCTTTATTCTATACTCCCAACTAAGGAGTATTGAAGGGAAAGAAAAACGAGGCCTTTTACTATGATCTTTAGCTACTTATATAAAAATATATAATAAGCAGCTATGTATTAAACATTAATATGATTTGTTATAGAAAATAGCTAGTATTTTCATGTTATTTACACACATGTAATAGAATTCTGAAATCCAAATACCTGTGCAATCATGAAATTTAAGATTATAATAATCATTATATTATTATAATAGATGCCATGAGCACTTACTATGTGCTAGGTACTATTCTAAGCTGTTTTACATACCTGAATTCATTTATTGCTGAAAATAACCCCATGATGCAGGTACTACTACTGCCCTACTTAATAGATGAAGAAACTGAGCACAGAGAAATTAAGTAGCTGGTCTAAGGTCTCAAAGCTAGCAAGGTAGAAAAGCCAGAATTTGAACACAGGTAACTTGACTACAAAACCTGTGTTCTTAACCACAAAGGGAGTAAGGTAAAGTATTTTAGAAAGTTAAAAAAAAAAATATATATATATATATATACACATATATATATATACATATTATTAAAGCTTTATGTATATATGTGTGTACACACACACACACACACACACACACACACACACACACAAATTAAAGCTCTATCTAGAAAAGGAAAAGAGCCCCTGTCATATTTCTTGGAACCAGACAAGGAAAGGGACTCAGCACACAGGTTTTGTGGAGTTTATCACTCCATTCAAATACCTCGTAGCTGCAGAAGGACTAAAAGAGATGTAAAGGAAGTAAAGATTTTAATTTTAGTTGCTATTTTCCTTAATTGATACTATGAAATTTCCTATCTTTTGTTCTCTTAAATGTTGGTGGTCCAATAATGTCCAAATAAAGAAGATAAGATGCAATTTCCCATCCAATCAGAATCAATGAATTATTTTAGGGCCTTAGAACACAGCTCTCAGTCTCTTATCCCAGAGCTTTCTCTTGGCCAAGAGGGGAATTTTTGGAGTAAAGTCAACCATTCTACATGTATAATCAGGGATTCTGGAAGCTCTGCAGATGCATAAATGTAATTTTCAATGAAAGGTCAACAGGGCCCAAAGGTAGAGTCTGAGGCTGAATAAGTTGTTATAACAAAGTTACTTTTGTCATTTGAGAGCCATTCAGATTCTTAGTGAAGGTGTTAAATACATAGTACCACCTGTCTATCCTAGTCTGCTTTATGCCAGCCAAATACCTAATCTAATGTTTTCTATCACTCATCTATGCTGTCTTCTCCAGAGCAGAAGGCTAATTTCCTAGTCTGCTTCCTTAAAGGAAGATATTTTAAACAAATAATTATATCATCTTTTATTTTACTATGGGCCATTTTCATTTCCAGGATTTCTAATTGTTTTTTTTTTTTTTAATAACCACCTATTCTTAGTCAGATTTCTTGTTTTTTGTTTTTTACTAACATATAATGTATTATTAGCCCCACTGGTACAGGTCTGTGAACCGTCAGGCTTACACACTTCACAGCACTCACCATAGCACATACCCTCCCCAATGTCCATAACCCATAGTTCTTGTTTTTGTTTTATAAGTTATTATTTTTAGGACCATTATTGTAACTTTTGTCTATTTGAGGATCTACATATACTTAAAAATCATTTTTTTTTATACTGCTTGATGACTTTGGTTTTTTTCCTGGGTAAATTTTCCTATTTGAGTTTTTTGTTGTTGTTGCAACATTAGTTTTCCTTTGAGATTTCTGTTTGCATGCTCATTTGTGAGTGTGACACTCCTTATCTGTGCTCATCCCTCCCTGTCTGGCAGTTGTGTGGTCACCTACCGCTGACACCAGGTTTCTGGAGTTCAGAACCAGGTCTCATATTAGCAACACGGCACTCTCGCCCCATGTGGGTAGTGCAGATCCGATCCGGTCACAATAGCTGGGACTTGCCACAGTTTTCAGCAGTGAATCTGTATCTGTTCTCATCAGTGTCAGCTCCACATACTAGTTGTAGATTGTTTCAGGCTCTCTTCACAGAAGGAGCTGCTGCCTCAGTTTCCTGTGCATTTGGATTCCGCTGCTATGCTTAAGGTACTCCCCTCCCCCTGCATAAATGGAACTCACAACACCACTGCTGTTGTGGTCTGGACCCCGTCAGGTGTGGGGTCATTGCTCGATTTCCATTCTAGCTCAGGTTCGTGTAGATGTTTATTCTTCTTAAGCATGGCTAAATTATTTTATTTGCTGAATATTTAAGGAACCCTTATTATAAACTAGACACAGTTCTTGGTACTGAGGAGGCAGGAAGGAACAAAAATATGTTCTTCAAATATAAATCATTTTTCTATTCTCATTATGTCTTTGAAGATGTATGGAGTGGTGATTGAGTGGGAGTTCAAGGCCTGTAATTTGAGTGGTTATCTTGGCCAGAGAAGGTCATCTCTGTCTTCTTAATCCAAGGATACACTTTTAACCATTATACTTCCTCACCTTCTATGACATAAAAGAGTATTTTCTAAACTCATCTGATTATAAGTTTCATCAAAGATTTTAATAAAAACAAATCAGAGGGCCTATCACAATGTACTGAATCAGAATTTTCAGAGAAAGAAACTGGAAATGTGTAAGTGTTCAATAAAGCTCTCAGGTAAGTGCTACAATGGAATGAGCTGGAAAAATACTGTTATAAATTATGTGGTTACATTAAAAAATTATCAATTAGAAAGAAAAAAAGCCTAGCCTGCTTTGTTAAAACTAGTATTTTCTATCATCAATGAAAGAATGATGAAAGTGGAGACAATAAAATATTGAAAAAAATTTGAAATACTGCCTTGTTTTCTTGCTTCCTTTCAATCAGAGTACCTAGGTTGTAACTTAATTTTCAGAGGCTTTAATAAGTTCCAGAATATATGACACATTGAATTCAGAGTGTTAAAAACTAATTTCTGAAGTTAAATAATTGGCTGATTACCCTCCTGAGTCCTCTCATAAATAATAGTAAGATGTCCATACAAAAAGATTTGCTCATTATTAAATTAGAAGGAGTCTTTAGTTATTTTACTCATATAAAAATTTGTAACAAAAATGGATTGTGTGCTTGACATATATAACACACAAATTCTCTACTGTCATGAATCTTAACAGCATATAAAAGACAATGTATCTGTTTTAATAATAGAATCACAAAGAGATTTTATATTTATTATACATCTTTATGTTATTTCTAGATTACAGCAGTATTATGATAGTATTGAAAATAGCATATGGCAACACTCTGTGGATAGAAGCTAATTCTATGGTGATAAAAGGAGACATACATGGTTATCAAATTACTCTAAATCTAAGAAATACACTTTTTACAATAACATTTTACAACTTAAAAGATCTGAATTTTAAAAATATGTTAATTTGGTAAGATCGTTTTAATGAGAGAGCCTTCTTGAATTTGACAACTAGTGTTACCATTTCATTTCAAAATATTGGTAAAATACTATTATTACATCTTGAATAATGAACTTGATAATTTATTAATATCAGTCAGGCTAACAGTATATTCTCTATACCTACTAATAAACTAGGACTATGACAAAAAAAGCAAATGATATATTTTATATAAACATTCATCACATAATAGAATATTCTCACCTATAGAGTCAGGCAATTGTTGCAACATATTGGATGACAGTAAAAGGTCCTCAAGGGCTTCACATCCAGAAATGTCCATGTCAACCGTTTCTATTCTGTTTTTTGACATATCCAGGTATACCAACATCTTTAACTTCCCTATAGACTTAATAACATTGCATAAACTCAGGATTAGTTGAGAAACTTTCATAAGACATTTAAAAGTTATTAAAAACCACAACACTGTAAAATTAATTTTAAAAGCAACTACAACAAGCATTGGCAAGAACATGGAGAAATTGCAATCCTCATACACTGCTAGCAGGAATTCAAATTGTACAGCCACTTTGAAAAACAGTTTGCTAGTACCTCTAAACGTTAAGCAGAGAGTTACCATATGACTGAGAAATCCCTCAGCATATCCTCAAGAACACATTATATGTTCACCCAAAAATGTAAATGTTCGAAGTGGAATTATTCACAACAGCCAAAAATTGGAAACAACCAAAATGCCTATCGATTGGAATGGATAAACAGAATGTGGTAGATCTACGTATTGTAATATTATTTTGCAAAAATGCAAATATATGCTACAAAATGGATGAGCCTTGAAAACATAGTGGTGAAAGATGTCAATAGCAAAAACACCTGTTGTGTGATTCTATGTACATGAAATGTCCAGAATAGGCAACTCTATAGAGTAAGAAAGTAGATCAGGGTTGCTGGACATTGTGGGGAAGGGGACATGGAAGTGACTGTCAATGGCTTCAGGGTTTCTTCTGGAGATAATGGAAATGTTCTATAATAAGACTGTGGTGATGGCTAGACAACCATGTCAGTACACTAAAAGCCACTGAACTGTATGTTTTAAATGGGTGAATTCTGTGGTATCTCAACACAACAATCTCAAAGCTGCAGAAGAATAAATAAATAAATAAAGATAGATTACTACCAAAACAACATATGTTGACATGTTGATTCTTACAACTTCAAATGCATAAGAAAGGTTTTAAATCATGATTTGGACTTTATCCTACTAAAGAGATTCAATATTTTGTTCATTCACCAGTTCTTTTTGAGAGTCTACTATGTGTCAGGGCTTGTGTTACACAGGTTTGTGTTACACATGGAGAACAATCATGAATAAGTCAACTAAGTATGAGAAGAGACTTGTGATACAGACAAAGTCTTTATCCTACGGAGCTCATAGTAGTGAAGGAAACTGTCAAATAAACAAATAAGTATAATACCCTATAATATATAAAAGAAAACAAAGCATGTGGAGAATGCCATCAACACACAGGGCTGCAAAATGCCTGGAAGAAAAATCTTGTCAGGGGGTGCTTGGGTGGCTCAGTAGGTTAAAGCCTCTGCCTTTGGCTCAGGTCATGATCCCAGGGTCCTGGAATCCAGCCCCGCATCAGGCTCTCTGCTCAGCGGGGAGCCTGCTTCCTCCTCTGTCTCTCTCTGCCTGCCTCTCTGCCTACTTGTGATCTCTCTGTCAAATAAGTAAATAAAATCTTAAAAAAAGAAAAAAGAAAAAAGAGAAATCTTGTTAAGAAAAGGAGAACCTGGGGTGCCTGGGTAGCTCAGTCAGTTAAGCCGCTGTCTTGGCTCAGTTCATGATCCCAGGGTCCTGGGATCTAGGCCCACATCGGGCTCCCTGCTCAGGGGAGAGCCTGCTTTTCCCTCTCCCTCTGCCTGCTGCTCTGCCTACTTGTGTGTGCTCTCTCTTTCTCTCTTTCTCTCTCTCCCTGCCCCCCTTCAAATAACTAATTAACTAAATATCTAAAAAAAAAAAGAAAAAGAAAAAAGAAAAAAAAAGGGGAAACTATATCTGGAAGAGAAAACAACATGTAAGTTCATAGCCAATGTGAAAAATCATGGCATGTTTGATGAAGAGAGGGAAATTCAATTTGTAGGACTATAAGAAGCCAGGCATTAAATGTCCTTACATGTTATGTAAGAAGATGTCAATTCTACCGTACAGGCAAGGAAAGCTGCTCAAGGTTTTTAAGATGGAGAATGACACAATCAGATTTGTGCTCTAAAATATCAACATCAGGAAACTGTGGAAGAAAGATTCTTTTTGGGAGTGGCAGAGATCCATCACAAGGATCCGGAAACCTGTAGCTACGGACATGAGAAGGACCTGAACTAAGGCAGCAGAAATGAGAATGAAAAGGCGATGGGCTCAAGAAAAATTTAGAAGTGGGGGAAATCGATGAGCAACCAATTACTGAGGACAGGGAGGAACAAACTCATATGGTACGATAACAGGAGTAACAGGGGCTGCTTAGCTGGGACAGGAGTCAGAACAAGATGAAAGTCCTCATTTTAATTTTCTTTCAGGGCATGTTTTGCAAACAAATGCCCTACACATATCCGTGTTCACTGGGTTATCTGTTCATCTAATCTACCCGTGTACGCTTTAATATATTGTCTCTAATTATTTGACAATATAAATAAATAAATAAACTTACTACACACACAGCACAACCTTTGCACTGTGCTAAGCACTTTATATATATTATTTGATTTAAGACTTCATATCCTTGCTACTCAGAATGTGTTTTGCAGACCAGCAGCGTTGGCACTACCTACAAGCCTGTCAGGAATGTAGAATCTCAGACCTGTTCCGGACCTACTGAATCAGAGTCTGCACTCCAACACACATTATAGCTTAGTAATTAAGTAATGGCACACGTTCCCTGGGAAAAGAGACAAAGAGAAGCTTATGAGAGAGTGTTCTTAGGATCAATGCCAGTGAAAGACAGAGGGGAGAAAGGAAGCACAACTGGCCAGATGAAGAAACTGAGATGATGTCTTGAGAAGTCTGCAGCTGGCCCTTTAAGACTCACGAAATTGGGATTGCCTTGCAATTGTCCTGAGGAAAGGAGAGGAGCCAGACCTTTATCACTGGTCATTGGGTGGAAGTCTTAGGGAATAGGAATGTGACCCTGGGTAGGGAAGTTCTCTTCAGCTGGAGGAACTCCTGAGGCGGCTGGAGAGCTGCAAGTAGCATTCCCAGAAGCTTCAGAAATAGAGTCAGTTCTTCATTCCAGGAGGATGATGCATGCCAGCATCTATTACAAGTAACTTTCCAAGGTTATCCCATCAATAAGGGGTGGAGCTAAAATTCAAACTCACTTTTCCCAGATTACAGACTACAAAGTCTATTGATTATCTTGTCAGTTACTGAACTCTAACTCCCTAATAAACCCAGCACACATTGCTAGCCCTGCTCCCTTACTCCGTGTGAGGCAGAGAATGTGAGCAGGGTCTCGGAGTAGATGAAAGGTTGCTAAGCTAGGAACTGAGTACTTTGGGTGACTAGGTCATAGCTCTGAATTCCCCCCATGCCTGGAAATAAGTCACTTGGAAAGATACTGTCACTTTACTTACAGATTTCCACCCTAAGGAGCTATTATGTTACCATGGCTCATTCTTCTCTTCTGGTGAGCAAAAAAAAAAAAAAAAAAAAAAAAGATGTATGTGTTTGTGTGTGTGTGTTTCTTTTTTGTTGCTTTATCGTGAGAAAATATCTTTACCCCTTGAAAGCTCCTTCATTGTTATCTGCAGTACAACTCAATATTTTGGTGTAAAATTTCTAAACATCCTTTTTAGAAGCAAAATAACACTTTGGTGTTTATTTTTGAGTCTTTCTAAACCCTCACTTTCAAACACCTTATAAGGGCAATAGTAACCTGGAGTGATAAAGGCTTTTGAAGTCCAATGTCTCAGAGTCCTTGGGGGATACTGAATCTTGGTCCAACACCCCTTGACAAAAAGGGGTCTATAAGTGAGCAGTAGACAGCAAACGAAAGGAATGCAAGCCGTCACAAACAAAAGAAGATATTGAAGTTTGTTTAAGAATAAACACAGGTTCAATGGGTTGTTTAGTCACATGTTGACTGATCTTAGAGGGACAGTCAAAAGACAGCTATGTAGAAGACTAATTTTTCATCATCTACTTGCTTCTCTGATTTATGAAAAACAGAGTAGCAAAATGATAGATCAGGCTTCCAAAAGTATTTTACAAGTAATTTAATATATTATGATACATGAATAACAAGATGAACTTGCTTTTTTCCCCTGTGTCTTGTGACACTAAATATTTAGGAATGATCATTCTGTGAAACTGTTAGACACGGGATAGCTAAAGCTTGCATTCAAGATTAGCTTTTCAAGGACATGTGTTTCTAAGTACTTGCATAGCAACTATTTGCCAGCATAAACATTCAGAAAACTATGCCTCTTTATGGCAAGGAGGTGGGGATATTCCCACAAGGAACAGAGCAAAATATGAAACTCAAGCGTACTAACTAAAATGAGAAATCTACTTTTATGGGGTGCCTGGGTGGCTCAGTGGGTTAAAGCCTCTGCCTTCAGCTCTGGTCATGATCCCAGGATCCTGGGATCGAGTCCTGAATCGGGCTCTCTGCTCAGCAGGGAGCCTGCTGCCCCCGCCCCCACCTGCCTCTCTGCCTACTTGTGATCTCTGTCTGTCAAATAAATAGTCTTAAGAAAAAAATAAAATGAGAAATCTACTTTTAAAGTAGTGTATAAGAAAAATCTACTCTTGCAACAGACAAGTTAGGCAGCACTATCTGTTTCATGGACAGTTTGATCACCACTTTTCCATTTAGATAATAAGCTTACTAAAGAATTTGAGGTCTGAGCTGACTTTCAAGGTTGGATTTTGGGAATGTCATGACTATGAAAAGTAAGATGAACGTAATTCCCATTTTGCCTTCTGTTGATTCTAGAGCAGTGGCATTCTGGAACATCATATTGAACAACAGCTTCTGGTTCTGGTTTGAATTATCATCATCTATCCATAACATGGAGATGGTAATAAACCCTACTTCATAAGCTCATTATGAGGATTTAGTGAATAAATATTTGTAAAACACCTAGCATTTATCATGAGCTAGGCATTATCTAGGTGTTTTTGAATTAATAAATATGTCAGAGACAGGTATAGACTTTTCCAGCTAGACACACATTTTGATCCTCATCTCTGCATAGGGAATCGATAAGTGTCTTACCTGTATTGCCCCAGGATCTGTACATGCCTTGAATATGGCACAAATCAGACTCTACTATGTGTAGTAGAATCTGTATCTATCTTTCCTGTTATGTGTGAGCTCCTCAAATAAATATATTCAAAGTCATTGAATATATTAGCTTTGTAACCCTAACATTAGCTTAGTTTCTGGTTCATAGAGGTGTATTTATAAATAGTTTTTAAATAAATCAATATATAAAGGATGTGCATGCTTTTTTGTTTTGTATCTATGATGATAGTATAAATGTATTCTTTTGATAAGAGAAGAAAGCATTTTCTTCCTTAATCTTTTGCCAGATTTTCTCCTTTATGTGGCTTCATGCTTGTTCAAAAAAGAAAAACCTCTTGTTCTAGTTGCTTTCGCAATCATTTTAAGGAATTTTTAATGTCGAGTCAAAAGAAGAATTAAACTGGCTTTGACAACACACATCTAAATCTCAGTGGCTGAAGAGTTATTAAAAATCCAGCTGCCCTGTCTGCTTAGCCCAATGCAAGGGATTTGGAATTGGCTATTACCAACAGGAACACTGTGGCTGATGTGCGTATGTGTATGTACATGCTTATTTGAGTGCATATATTATGAGTGGCAAGAGGCAGTATTTCATGCGGCCATTCTTTCTCTGAATGGAAAAGGCAGGAACGTTCACACTCAATGGGTTGACTGGTAAACCTTCTCCTTGGGAGATATTACTGGATTGTCTATTAGTTGAAAAAAAAAATGGACTCTAGTTTAATGGTCTATTTTTAACTTTTTGTAATTTGTCATATACCATTTTCAAAAATTTAAATGTATTCTATTGGAAATCACCCAAACTGAGAGAAAGATTTTTATTTTGTGGAAGAGCTCTAACAATATGAGCAGAAACAATTATCTAGTTACCTATAGGACTATGTTTGATTCTGTAAAAACAAGACTTGGATTTTATATGTAGCATTTTCTTTTTCCATATAGAGCAATATAAATTTCTCAGCATTTAAAACTCAGTATGTGGAGAGATGAAAAATGTAATCCTGTGAGAACAAGAAAAATCTTTCATACATTATATATACCTACATCATTTACAGAAAGTATGTGGGGGAAAAAAAACAGAAACAAAAAAACACCAACTAATGAAAAACACTTGGTGACCAAATAAATGTTTTACATTGAAAGGCAAACACTGAGATTTATAAATGAAGATTATTATTAATTACAACTAATATATAACATAGATTCTAGACAACATGTCGTAATAAAAACTTACATACCCCAGGTAGCACTTGTAATGCATTATTATCCATCCACAACTCTCTTAAATTTTGTATTTGATCCAGAACTTCAGGCTAGGAGAGAGATAGGGAGAAAGAGAACAAAATTACCTTTTCTTAGCACAATATAAGTGTAATTTCTTGAATCTGGAAACTTTATTTGGGAATCTAATATTAATCCTCCAAGCAGTCCTAAATTTAACAGACCTCCATCAAAACTGGTAGTCCCTGAGGCAGTCAACCTAGAGTTGATCTGGAAACAATCAGAACAACAATCTGGAGGGAGACAAACCATAAGAGACTCTTAATCTCAGGAAACAAACAGGGTTGCTAGGGGGAGGCGGGGTATGGGTAGGGTGGTTGGGTTATGGACACTGGGGAGGGTATGTGCTATGGTGAGTGCTGTGAAGTGTGTAAACCTGGCAATTCACAGACCTGTACCCCTGGGGCTAATAATACATTATATGTTAATAAAAATAATGGATAAAAAATTAAAAAAAAAATCGATTATTCTTTCTTAATACCCTATAATCATCATTTAGAGCATTTATTATACTCTAATTACTCAGTGTATTTGTCTTCACTAGAATATAAGCTTTTGAAGGGCAGAGCAATGCTTGTTTTTTAAATACTATTCCTCATCCCCATTGTTTGCCATGGTATTTAGCATACAGTTTTTATTATGTGTGTGTAGTAGAACCTTACACACATACTCCCAATAGGGATTACGTTACATGAAATGATGATAGTATGAATTAGACCCACTCATTTCCTATCCCTTCATTTACTTGACAAATTATTATTGGTTGAATACTGGGGATGTCTCATATGTGAAAGGCACAAGGCAGGATCCACAATTTTCAAATCTGGGTCCTGCCTTGAGGTAGCTGATGATATAATCAAAGAGACAAATACATATAAATAACTGAAACAGAAGGTAGCATATGGGAGAAAAGTATAATGTAGAGAAGTTCAAAGAAAGGAGAGAGAGAATATGATCTAGGTATAACACACAAGGGATAATGAAATATTCTAAGTCCCTAGATTGAAGTTGTCTCTAAATTCCAGCAAAATATATAGAGAGGATAAAGGAAGCCATCGCTATCAGCATCACCTCTTGATTTGTGATGAACTTTTTATGATTTCTCTCCAAAAATTTTCCCATTAGGCTCCTTCAGGCCACCTGTGTCCCTTGAAGTTCACTCCTTTTTGTCACTTCAGGGAAGTGAGAATGCCTAAGCTAATTAGTGCGTTGTATTCACTTGGCCCCAGGGGTTGGCTCAAGGATAAGAACAGGATCCATTCAGAGCAGATGAGAATCAAAGTTTCTTTCACTGAGACTTCAGGGGCAGAGACTCCTGTTCTTTTCTGCTGGATTAGAAACTGGAAGGGTACAGCCCTGGGAGCTTTAGGCATGAAAAACAGGGAAAAGCCTGTTTGATTTAAAAGATGGATCCTGATAACATATTAGGCTGAAATTAAGCCACACCTAAAGTCAGATGTTTTGTCTCTTTCAACTGAAAAAAAAAAAAAAATCACTGAAAAAAGATACAACCATAGTTCAATAATATTTGAGACCTAGTTAGGAAAACCAGTGTATTTTATAGGATAATAGTGGAAAAGAATGGAATTATTCCTATGTTATGATGAGAATATTGGTAATTGTCGGTTAGCAGAAGTTATATGCACACATCTTTGACACTTTAGGAAGGCTTCAGAGACTGCCAGGACTACTTTGAGAGAGTCTCTGATGCCCTTAGACTGCAATTGCAATGGAATATGTTACTATTCTTTGGAGAAATTTCAGCTATAACAAGGATGAAAGGATAAGGAAGGTGTGGTGTATATATATACAATTGACTATTACACAGACATCAAAAAATTGAGATCTTGCCATTTGCAATGATGCGGATGGAACTAGATGGTATTATGCTAAGCAGAATAAGTTAATCAGAGAAAGACAATTTTCATATGATCTCATTGATATGTGGAATTTAAGAAACAAGTTAGGAAGAGAGGAAAAAATGAAACAAGATGAAACCAGAGAGAGAGACAAACCATAAGAGACTCTTAATCATAGGAAACAAACTGAGGGTTGTTTGGGGGTGGGGTGTGTGGAGGGATTGGGTACCTGGGTGATGGACATAGGGGAAGATAAGTATTGTAATGAGCACTGGGTATTATATAAGACTGATGAATCAGACCTGTACCCCTGAAACAAATAATACATCATATGTTAATCAACTGAATTTAAATTTTAAAAAGTTAAAAAAAACCTCTCAATAAACAGAAAAAAAAAAAAAAACCCAAGGATCAAAATCTAAAGTTAGAGCATGGCATTCAGCTATAGACTCAGAGGCATGTGTGAATAAGTGTGGGAGATTTTTTTGTGTAGGAAAATATCCTTTTACTTAGATGAACTACTCTACCTCTATGTTAAGCTGGGCAAGAATGGAAAACAAATCAAGTGCGAAGCCCACTTTGATGTGCAGAGGCTTTGAGATAGAGCACTGGCTAGGAACAGTCAGGCTAGTTGGGAAATATCAGTCTGGTGCAGATCTCCCGAAGCCTACATATCATGCAGACTTTAGAAAAAGAGTTTCATATTGGTAACTTCAATAGAACCTTATGCTTGTAATAAGATGGACATTAATTTATAAATGTTGAACAATGAGCATTATTTAAGATAACCTCGATTGTGCTGTGGTAACAAATTAATCCTGAAATCTCAGTGGCTTGACGCCACATGGCTTACTTCCCACTCCCATTACATGTCCATTGTCCTGGGTTTCTGCCCCCAGAGCATTGTGTTGCCACCATCTCAAGAATTCCAGAAGAGTCAAAGCAGAGAATAGAGTATAGAAAACCAGCCACTGCTCTTAAAGATCTCAGACTGGAAGTGACCTATATCACCTCTGCCTAGAGCCCCATGTCTAGAACTGTTTATAAGGCTGCAAACTAAGTTCAAGAAAGGCTTTGAAGTATAAGAGAAATTCATGGAATATTTGGTGAACATTACTGTTCATGCTACACAGTAGTATTAAAAAAAAAAAAAGAATGACCAGAATGGATACAGGTGAACATTACTGTCCATGCTACACAGTAGTATTAAAAAAAAAAAAAAGAATGACCAGAATGGATACAAAGTACTTTAATAATTTAGTTATCCCTTTATTCAGTAAATACTTACTAAATATCTCCTCAGTTCCAGGCATAACACTAGAGTCATAATGCCCTCTGCCCTCAAGAAACTCATGTTCTATTTCTAAGGCAAACACAGAAAAAGTAAATACATCTTATTATGGAAATATAAAGAAAGGGGGACCTACATACTGTAGTAATGAGGAAGCCACATAAGTATTCATGGAGCCACATACATATTCATGAGAAGGAGTTGGTCAGTAGAGAGGAGAGGACAGGAAGCACATTTTAACAGAGGTGAGAAACAGCATGATGAATGAATGGCAACAGGCAGTTTGTTAAGTTTGGAATAGAATGAATAGCAGAAAATGAGGCTAACAAAAGAGGGTGGGGTCTATGAAGTCCTTATATTTTGTTAAGGAGCTAGAACTTTATTTTACAGGTGAAAGAACATCACTATGCTATTTTTAATAGGAAGTGATTGTGGCAGATTGGTGTTTTATGTATATCTGTCCTGGGGCTAGTAATGGGGCTAGTAATGAAAGAGATAATGAGTAATAAAGAGAAGAAGTCAAATTAAGGAAGCATTTAGAAGATGAAAACAGTAGGACTTGCTACTTTGATATAGGGGTTAGAGTAGGGGTCATGGGTGTCCCCCAGTTTCCCAGCACCTGTGGTGCTGCCAATGGAGATGCAGGATATCGAGATAGAAACCAATATATGGGAGAGACTGAATTCAGCTTTGACCATGATTTAGCTTTAGGTCTCTATGGGACACTGGTGGAGATGTCCAGGAATTGGTTAACTATTAGAATCTGAAGCTTAGGGAATAGGTCCCAGCTGAGGATACAACTTAGGTATCTTTTGGGAGTCAAAACACATGAGGACAAGTTCCCTGTGGGGGAATGGGAAGGAATCAGAGGTGCTGAGGGAGGAACCCTGGGGGAACACTAACGTTTGAGAGCTAAAAACAGGAAGAGCAAACTCAGAAGGCAAGAAGGAATAGAGTCCAGGAGAGTAAGGGGTTACTAAAGTCCAATGAATAGTGTTGTATTAAGAATAAGGAAGTGTTTAAGAGCATCATTTACAGCAGAGGTGTCCAGTGAAATAAGAGACTGAAGATGCCCACTCAATTTTGGAAACAGCAATATACTGATACCTTAGCGATAGAAATCGAGGGACTAGGATGAAATCAAGGAAGTCAAGCTGATAAGAAGACACTAGCAAAGTGGGCCAGATGAAAGACAGATAAAATGCTATAAAATTAATGGAGTAAATTCTAAGAGGTGACAAATAAGATGAAATTGATAACACAGGAAAAGAAGCAGGCCTTGAACAGAAGTAGGACACCTCTTTCACTGAGACTCAAGGGAAGATGTTAAGGATGATTGTAGGTGAGCTTGATGGGGGGAAGAGAAGAAGTAGAGAGGGGGCATGTCTGAAAGTCTCAATGTTTCTTGATGAAGTAGAGAGGAAGGTAATCTGTTGAGCAGGAGAGGTCAAGACTTTTGTATATACAGAGCACTTGGGGAGAATGGTGCATACTAGTATAGTTTGAGGGGACTCAAAGAGCAAGTTAAGGGCAATCAAAAGAGCTCTATCAATGGTAATTATTTTAAGTTTTTTTGGGGACCAGGTGCGGGACTGATAGGCTAGGAAAAAAACAGAAGAAGCAAGAGATTTCAGGTTTGCATGAGGTCAGCGAGGAGTGTAGTACAAGGAGGGATTGAGAGAACTAGGAGTGTGAAAAATTCTGAGAGAAGAATTTAAGAGTTTAAGATTTCAAGATTTCTGGAGTGGTTCCAGGCAATGCCAGACTTGAAGCTATGGGCAGTATGAAATGTTGGTGTGTGGGCAGGGGAGGATGCTGTGAGACAAAAGGCCTTGTGTGGTCTCTAAAAATTTGGGTTGGCTCTCATGCACTGTATAATGTG